GCTCTTAATAAAATATAGGGATTAAGTGTGTGTTTTGGGAGTGGATAATTGCTTCTGCTTCATTTTCAACAACTTCTATCAAGACAAGGTTTGTAGGTAAAAGAAATACCTTTTGTTATGCTGATTAGTAAAGTTAGGAAAAGTAGGCTAGTTCTTGAGTATGCAAGTCCTTTCTCCATTCTGAATAGAACCTGCAATTTCGCTGCTAAATATAAATTGAGAACACTTGCCTTTAATTTTGTAGATACGTGCCAGTTGGACCCTCTGAAAGCAATAGTAGTTGGTACCTGTGGAGCAGAGTGTAACATTAGTACATGGGAAGAGGGATTAAGCAGGGTTTTTTCCCCCCAAAGAAAAGAGAAAGATGGGTAATTTTGATAAGAGTTTGAGTTACACTTGTGACCTGGGTTAGCAGCTGCATGTTGTTTGCATTGTATTTTGCTTCTAAACAAAATATTTTTACCTTCGTTTATTGAAGAATGTCTTTTTTGTTTATAGGCAAATGAGAAAGCAAATCTCTTGAAACATAAACAGTGGTACTTCCCTGGAGGGAGGAGATGGGAATTCTCCTGTTGGTCTGAGTGTTGCCAGGTGCCAGAAGTGGTCCCCAGTGGTGGTGGTAAGAAAAAAATCTTCCCCCACATTTCTGTATTTGCGTTTTGGCTGTAGCAATGAGATGCTTTTAGCAAAAAATGGGGGTGCAAATCCTGTTCTTTTCACAGAGCTGTATGAACTGCTGGGAGAGGTGTCAAAAGTCTCCTGCTCAGAGAACTTCAATTTAGGGACAAAACCAGTGCTTCAGCTTGTTGCTTGTTGTAGTGCTTGCTCCTGCTCTCTTGTGTATGCCGTATTTGTCAGTAATCATTGCAGCAAAGACTTAACCACAGGTAAAGCTCCGGAGGACTCTGGAAATACTTAACTATCTTCCCTTAAATGTAGAAGGGGAGCTGTGGCCTTACGGTGCTTCGAGGACCTCCTTTACAGAGTTCTTAGAAATCTCTTGAATTCTGACTCTCTGGTCATCTTAGGCTGCCTTTAATCCAAACATCCTTAAATTCTGTCAAATAATTGGATATGGAAATGTTAAGTTATAGCAACAAACTTCCTTCTTTTTGTCCTTTTTTGTAGTCTCTGCTACAAACAGTGGCAGCAAAAGTGGAAAGCTGATGAGACCCCGCTGACACAGCAATAGTACAGGGTTTTTCCAGGACAAGATCTTAAAACCCCAGAATGGTTAGTGTCAGATGTTGACATTTTAATGATGATCTCTGATACCCTGCCCCTTCATGGGCTATTAGTAGCTTTTTTATAGGGAAGTAATTTAATCTTAGTGATTTTGCAAAGACCTGGAGTGTAGCTTTAGTATTTTATAACCTTTCAAGGTCTATTATAGGACAAGTAGTCTCGCAAGAAACTTGCATTTCTGTGAGATACTTCTCAAAGCTCTGATTCACAGGGCAGTATGTACTGTATCGGCCACAGTCTGTGTTCACGGCATGTCTTTGGACCCCATACAAAGTTACATCCCTTTTGAAGATGTACATTTTCCTGCTGTAGAGGAAGTTAAAGCATTTACCCCAGATCATATTAGGTGGGCAAAGAACCACTTTATGCAAGCCCCAAACATTCTTGGATGAAAATTTTACCCCCCAAAATTAGTTATTGCATCTGAATCTGGTTAATGCAGCTTTGGTGGATGGAGGGAGACTCACTAAGTTGATTCATGAAAGTAGGCTTGTTACAGTGTCATAGTGACCAGCTACTTTCAAAACCGATTCTGCAAAATGCTTTTGCCCAGGCTTATTGCGATTGGTGTAAGAGCAACGCCCCAGAAAGACACAATAGCCTGGTTTCATGCATTTGCTGTTTTGTAGCATATTTTTCAGGGTACATGGCTGCAATTTTTGCTTTTCTTTGTGTGTAAGGACTGATAATGCCATCAATGTGAGTGTTACTGAGAAGCTAAAATGTGCTTGGGGGGCAGGATTTCATGAATTGTGCACAGCTCTTGAAAATTCAAGCTCTGCTTCTGTTTGGAGAAGAGAGAACTTGGGCTTCTCATACCCAGCCCTGCAGGCTGTCAAGCCTGGTGCCTGTGCTCCTCGTGTAGTGCGTGCCTGGGTGTCTTATCTCGAGTTGCAAGCAGGAAGAATCTGGAAATGAAATGTTCTGAATGAAGTGGATGGCCGTGCTGGAAGCTGAATAATGGCATGAATAATTCCTTCAGCCTTCACCTTCTTGATTGTTCAGATAAATCCTGAGTGGGTCGATAGATATTCATATGGATTAGAGAAATTGTACTGAGGGCTTTTCAGTGTCTCGGTGGATGCTGCTTCTGCAGAACAAATCTCCATTTAGTGAACCAAAGCACAACTGGTGCCAACAGGCACACAGTCAAGGAGGTGAGGGACTGAATTACGGGGAGGTCAAGTTATGATAGCGTTTGCCATGGCAGCCGTCCCCTCCTGTTGGGGTTTATGCATGGGCAGAGGCCCTTTTGGTATCACCTGCTGCTATTGTCCTTCTTGTGTGTCTTTGTGAGGGGATTTCTCTTTCTCAGACTTGCCAGTGTTACAAATCATAGCAACTGTTGGAAGATTCAATTTTTGTATGAACTTGGTTGGGGACCACGGGGAGGGGGGAATCTTTGCAATGCACTTGAGGACATAAGGATCTTGGCAGGCTAGACCAAAAAGCAGCTCATAAAAGCAGTCATGGCAGTCACAACTTCAAGAGTTTTCTATACTTCAAGCGAGGAGAAATGTGAAGTACATGGGGAAATCCAGTAACATTCTCTGCTTTCAGATTTAATAAGGCTGTGGTGATGGGCTATTTCAAAGCCCATAAGACAGAGGCCGCTTCACTGGCAGACTGATGTTCTGACAAGCTGCTGCCAGAGATACGATCCCTGGCTGTTAGTCTCATGCGGTGCAGTTTTTAAGCTAAAAGTCAATTTTGCACAACATGCAGGAGTAATGTGCTCTCCTATCTGTTTTTAATAGATAGTGCACTGAGTTGGAACACTATGAAAATGAGAAAGGCCGTGTTTTCCTTGATAGTCTAGAAACATTCGAGAAGGTCTGGGTGTGTTAGGTGCATTATAGCATGGAGACCTCTTCTGCAAGGTGGAAAGTGTTGCTCTGAACTCCTTCAGGAGGGGGCAAATATTGTTTCCATGTCTCCTCTTAACTACTGAGACCGCGTATAAGAAGCGGGCAGCAGAAGATCAGATCACCTTGTTGTGACTTTTATTTGGAAGAAGCGAGCATGACAACGGTGTTTTGTGAAGCACTCTGTCCTCTCGATCTTTGAAAACACTCGGACTGTGTCCCACTGAGCTCTGCTCACCAGAGAGCTTA